CTGTGTCCCCACCAGTGCCCCCACCACTGTCGCACTGTCCCCACTGTCCCCACCACTGTTCCCACCACGGTTCCACTCTCCCCACTGTCTCCACGGCCCCAACCACTGCCCGACTATCCCCACTGTCCCCACTGTCCCACTGACTCCGCCGCTGTCCCACTGAGCTGTCCCACTGTTCTGTCCCATTGTCCCACCGCCGTCCTCGCCACCGCCTTCACCACTGTCCCCACCACCATTGTACCCTCCACTGTCCCAGTGTTTCCACCTCATTCCCACTGTGCCCACACCGCTGTCCCCACCACCACCGTCCCCACCACTGTCCACTGTCCCCCCTGTTCCCACCATTGTCCCCACCACTGTCCCCACCACTACCGGCCCTCTACTGTCCCACTGTCCCACTGTCCCCACCACTGTCCCGCTGTCCCCTCACCACTGTCCCACCAACACCGTCCCCACCTCTGTCCGCACCCCCACTCGGTTTTCGAGGGGGGGGGGGGGTTCGAACCGGTAGTGACCCCCCCCCTTTTCATGATGAGCTGGGGGGGGGGGGAGGGGTTCGAACCGGTAGTGACCCCCCCCGGTTTTCCGGAGGGGGGGGGGAGGGGTTCGAACCGGTAGTGACCCCCCCCGGTTTTCCGCCAGCAGCGGTAGAACACGCTCTTTCAGATATCGAGATATCGAGACATCGACACATCGAATCCCCGCCCCCGATATCGAGATATCGAGATATCGAGTTCCCTCCCCCGATATCGAGATATCGAAATATCGAGTCCTCCCGACCCCCACCGGGACGCCTTGCGACCATAATGGATTTCCTGGGGGGCAATCTGAGCATGTGAGGGTTGGTTCCATGCTTCTGTTTGCTCCTGTTAAGCTTCTGGCTGAGCACCTCCGGGCTGGCACTGGGGGTTGGCTTGAGCGCCAGACCCCCGCCCTTGGGCTCCTGGGGCTCCCACCTCTTTCAGATGACTCCCTATGAAGGCCCTTTCTGCTGCTCCAGGCGCTGCTCTCACCCGAATGTGAACACTGCGATCATCAGGATTGCTCTGTCTGCACCTCCACAGTGGGACGTGCGCCCACGTGCATGATGCTTTCGGTCTGTATGCCTAGCTCGCCCCGCCTTTTGCGGGACACTTCCGGGAAAGGCAGATGCTCCCACGGGAAAAAAGGGCTCACACAACCTTTTTCGGAAAGCAACCTGACGGGGTGCTCCTCACGGTCTCTAAGAAGGCCTACCTGGGCGGCCTTGGCTTCTGGCATCGTGGACAGCATTTGCTCATTGATGGATTCTGACGACTGCATTTCAGATGATGTGTCTCTCTTTCAGTACTCTCAGGATTGTGATGAAGTCCGGTCTAGTCTGATGGCTTTCTATGCGGCCTTGGAACGGGACGCCCTTGACCCCCCTGCTCCGGCTCCCGACTTTGCGGGGGGTAAGGGCGGCTCCAAGTTCAGAAAGAGGAAGACGGATCCTGAGAAGTTTCGCTCTGACCCCTCGAATTCCGAGGGCCAGCAGGAACTTGGTGCTGAATCGACTCCTCCTGTTGCCCCTGCCGAGGAGGGTCCTGATGAGCAGATGGTTGCTGAGTTGTGGGTCGACGCCCGTGAGGAGCAAGCCGCGTCCTGGTCCCCAGTCGCCTCTCATCCTCCTCTCCCTCCTCCGCCGCCTCCCCCTCCCCCTCCTCCTCCCCTCCTCCTCCTCCTCCTCCCTCCTCCTCCTCCTCCTCCTCCTCCTCCTCCTCCTCCTCCTCCTCCTCCTCCTCCTCCTCCCCCTTCCCTCTCTTCTCCCCAAGACACCCGGGCTTGCTGCTTGCCGTGCCGAGGCGCCGAGGCGCCGTCGGACCGGAGCGGCCCCGTGGGGGGGACGCCCCGCCGCCTGTCAGCCTCCTCCCCGCGCCTGCCCCTGGGGGGAGGGCGGCTCGGGGCCGGGAGGCTGCGAGGGAGGCCTGGGCGGATTTGCAGTTCCAGCGGGCGCGGCTCATCCCATTCTTCTCACCTGCTCTGCCTCTTGCACAGTTCTGGTTCGTTGAGCAGGGACCGACCGTCCCAGCATTCCTATAGTCTTGCCACGAAATGGTCTTAGAACCCAAGAACGTTCGGATAACAAAAACAATGCTCTTAGAACATAAACTCGATGTGATAAAACAAGACAGGCTCCGCCAGAAATGTTCTAAGAACATGTCGTGGGAACCACAAAAGGTCCTTAGAACATTGTTTGGTAGGGCTATAGGCGAGTCAGGACGCTTCGCCATGGCTTGAGTTCGGCACGGCTGGTGCCTGTTGGACAACTCCGTTTGGCACGCCCCGTCTGTCGGGCAGTTCTCGTTTGCACGGCCGGCGGTCTTGCCCTGCAGGGGGTGGGGGCCCGCTGCACCGTCCTGAGGCTCCAGCACCAGGGGCAGCGCGGGCATCCCCCCCCCCTCTCTCTGTCTGTGTCAACATCTTCTGTGCGGCCGTTTTCGACTTGCCCTCTCGCTGGCCCTGTTGGCTTGTCTTGCCGTGCCACACGATTGCGTGCTTGCACGCCTTGCTGGGCCGAGCTATAGCCGCACGGCAGTGCCGAGGGTCGATCCGTGCGGCAGGGGGGGGCATAGCGGGCTCTGCGAAAGCAACTCGCGACCCCCCTCCCCCCAAAGCGGCGCTCGCCGAAGCGCGGTCGTGCTCCGTCTTTTCTCTGGTCCTGCTGACTGCTCGCGTTGGGCGCGTTGGTCTCTGGGCCCGTCTGGCTTTTCGGTTTCCTGGGGTCGGGCACCGCCAAGGTCAGACCAGACTATGCAGCAGTCTCTTGTTCTCCCTAGTGGGTCTCTCGTGCACCACCCTGACCCGCCCCCGAGTTGAGAACGGCACCTGCCCATTCCATCGTTGCGCACGTCTCCCTCCTCCCTCCTCCCTCCTCCCTCCTCCCTCCTCTGTCCTCCCGCCTCCCTCCTCCCTCCTCCCGCCTCCCTCCTCGCTCCTCCCTCCTCCCTCCTCCCTCCTCCCTCCTCCCTCCTCCCTCCTTCGAATCGAGAAGCGATACGTTTGGACGGTCTTCGCTGTTTGGCGGAGATTTCTGGGGGGGGCATCTCGTCGCCGTGGGTTCGATTGAGCTCGAACTCGTTGTCAGAACGAAGTCCGGACGAGGCCTTGGGAACGATTTGAGGAATGGAAATGTGTTGTGGAGGAGGGGGCAAGAGGCACGAGAAGGAGGACACTGCAAAAAGGAAACAACAGGGGAGGGGAGGGATAAGGAGGAGGACCAGGAGGGTGAGGGGATGGCGCTAGTCACAAAGCTGGCGGGCCGCCACTACACTACGGACTCGAAAGAGCGTGGAAACAGTGCTGAAGATGGCAGGACACTGAGCCACGTCAAAATCAATACATGGTCGCGCCAAGATGGCGACGCGGGAGCTTCTTAAACTCAGATGGGCTCAGCGTCGCACGCAGTTACTACACCACTCCGCCCCCTCTTTCCTCCGCCGCCCCCTTCCCCCACACCACCCCCGCTCTCGCCCGCTCTGCCTCTTCATCGCTCCCTATCCGTCCCTCTCCCTCTCGCTTATGTGTGTGCATCTCTTTCTCTCTTTCTCTCCCTCGCTCTCTCTACAACTACGTTTGAGCCAACACATTGACCTACAATCACATGTGTATATATATATATATGTACATGAAGCGAACACCGGCACCGACGGTCGTCAGACAGCGAGCGACCGGCTGGTCGGAGCGTTCAGCGGAGCGCGGGGGGATCGACGCGGCGTGCGAGAATGGGCTCGCCCGCCTCCGAACGATGCGGAAGGCAGGCGACGCTCGTTTCTCTTGCGTAGCTCAGTTCTGACAATTCCATCTCCAGCGTGAAATCGCTTAGCGCGGCGCTCTGAAAGAGGTCAGAAACCTGAAAAAGAATTACACCGAAGAGACAGCCCGAACAACGGATGGTTTCCGCTGAGGAGATCGACCGGGAACCCGGGAGCCTCGGAACGCAAAACCCACCGAAATCGGCCCAGAACCAATAGAACCCGGGAACCCGCAACCAGGAACCCGGGAACCCAGCCTGCTACCAAAATCGGCGGGAAACTTTCGCCAAATCTTTCAACTTCCGCTATAGGACCCCTTCAGAGCAAGCACTGATTGGGGAATCTATGATGATGGCGCCCCCGGCAAAACGTCCATGATGAGATGAAACACGTACACCCTGTGTTGTTTTATGATGGGTCGAATGGGCCCCGCGCCCCCGAAGAGAACCCCCATCGGCCGACCAAGCAGCAAAGTTTGCGAAGATGCGAATACGGAATTCGGGTAGACGGCGCTCTCCTACTCCCCCCCAAGACCTTGGAACCAGCATAAAACAACCGACCAACTAGCAAAGCGTGCGAAGATGTGAATACGGAATTCAGGTAGACGGCGCTCTCCCACCATCCCTCCCAAGACCTTGGAATCAAGAGTGGAACAACCCAAAACTTGAGTGTCTGCGCAACGTCTTGCCCATTGACGTGTGAATCCGCAGGCGTAAAGACGCTGCCGTGGGGCGCGTTTGCAGGGGCAAGGAAGGCAAGACGGCCGCTGCACCCGAAATCATGCACCATTCTGGCTACGACCTCCACGACAACGCCAGCGTGGCGTGCACGGCGTAAAGAGTACGCAAGCGTTTGCTCCAAACTGCTTCAGAAGGGGTTGGCTCATCGGCTACACGCAAGAGCGACCATGGGTGAGAGTGACCTCTGGTGCGCGACTTTTGGGAGGCCGCGGGGGGGTGCAAACCCAAGCGCGCAAGATGCTACTACCGCATCGCGTTCAGCGATCGGGGGACCACAATGGGCCCGCACCAAAGGTCACCCCAGCGAAAGGTCACTCTTACGTCTAATCGAGCTAAGAGCACCGCAGAGCCTTGATCCACACTGGCTACAGAAGAAGGAGGAGCAACAGCATCAGCAGCGCCGCCGACCACGCCCCCGCCGAGCAACCCACCTCCAGGCGCCACCACCACGACGCACGGCCAGGGCTCCGCTCCGTCGGCTGGCCGCTCAAGCTTTGACGGTAGCGCCGACCCCGAACGCGTCGTCGTTGCCTTCGGCGCCTCCTCCTCCTCCTCCTCCTCCTCCTCCTCCTCATTATCTTCCTCCTCCTCCTCCTCCTCCTCCTCCTCCTCCTCCTCCTCCTCCTCCTCCTCCTCCTCCTCCTCCTCCTCCTCCTCCTTGACCGACACCTAAGCCGCTCGATGTGGCGCCTGGCCAAGTGAGGCACGACCTCGTGCCAGAGCCGAACTGCTGGAAATGTAGGAGTAGTAAGCGATTCACGCGAACGCAGGCTGGACGCAGGCGTATGCGCAGAGAGGTTTGTTTTGTCCGCCACACTTGGAGCACCGCAGCCCTTTGGAGCCCCCCGGGGCCCCATGTGGTCCAGGGGACCCGCGTTGGCTTGCAGCACAGGACCCCCCCAGCCTCAAGAGGCGCCTGGAGGGCCCCGAAGAAAGAGAGGAGGCTGGTGAGGTTCCCGTGCGCAAGGCCTCTCGCGGTGATACGTCCCCTGTCCTCCTCGCCCGATCTCCCTCCTGCTGCTGCTCGTGCCGACCAGTTGCCTCCTCTTCCGCCTCCGCCTCAAAAAAGGGCTCGGGGGGCATGGCAGCACACGGAGGCCCGAGGCCACGCCCTCGACCGTGTTGGCGAGATCGCTGGATGTGTGAAACGTGGCTCCTTTTTCTGAGAGAGCCCATCGCTCCCAGCTGTTCAAAAGGTAACCCTCCGAGGAAGCGGCGCACATGATGGCAAGAAGCATTCCACCCCTGCCCGATACACGCTTTTTGGTCTCAGACCCTGCGTCTCACTGGTTCGGACTTTGTATCAAATATTCCCTCTTTAATTCGTCTGTGTTTAAAACACATTGCCGCCCGGTGAGCCCAACTGGGCCTTGTTGGAGAGGGTCCGTGGCGCGTGTCGTGACGACCGAGCCCGGGCACTAGGTGTTCGCGGACCCTCCCCACCAGTCTGTGGGAGATTGTGCGTGCGTTTCTCGACATGTCCATCTCTCTACCACCGTTGCTGTCCTGACCTCGGCGCGTCTCCTCATGTGCTCGCTCCTCCTCCTCCTCCTCATCCTCCTCCGCCTTCGCCCCTCTTCCTTACAAGTAGACCCCCCTCGCCACACCTTCCAGAAGTCTCCGTGGGCCAGGCCAGGCTTTTTCGCTTGAGACACTCTTGCAACTAGCCCTCCTGAGGCTAAACAGCCACACGGAAAGAAAGACGAAAGGCGGGTGGTCAGCACGCGGATCAAAAGTAGCCCCACGCCGTCCAACAGCTACAAGGCTGGAGGCGAATTCCTCTACAGGCTCAACGACCCGACGATTGAACCTCGCGCGCGGGAGAGCCCAGCGCTCGTCCGTGATCGCGGGGCCGCGCGCCATCACCATGCGCTCGGCGCCGTCGGCGATGGTGAACGTGGCCCGCTCCTTCTGGGCGGTGCCGAGCCGCGTCTGGAACTCTCCAGTCGTGGAGCTGTTGAGCTGTCCAGCATGCGGCTCTGCGGCCCGACGCTCCAGCCCCGAGCGGCGGCTCTGCACGGGTGGAGGGCGGTTCCTCTTCACACGGGGGGGGGGCCCTCGCTCGGCACCTCCGCACATGCTGTGGCCAGAACTCTGGGGCGTTGTTGCTGTGGAGCGACCCAAGGTCGAATAATTGTTTTTTCTCCACAGCGAACCCAGCACCCAATGCCCGTCCAGAGGCCAGACAATTTCGATTGAGCGTCAAATCCGCTTCCCCTCAAGGGGGCTATAGCCGCACAGAGTCGAAGAAAAACTATCAAAACACCTCCCCCTCGGAATCGGCGGACCCCTCATCCTCGCGCTCCTGGGAGGGCCTGGCCGCTGCCTGGCCCAGCGCCTTCACGTCGGGGGCACCGCCGACACGGATGGAGGGCAGACCCTACAAAGTCATGTGTGCGCGTATGCGTGCGCAGTCGCCGTCTCCCCCGCGCAGTCCGCCGCTGCTTGGTGAGTGGGCCGGCCGGCCTGCGGCGCGTTTAGTAGCTAATTAGGCCGCTTTCGTGTCCCGTAGCGCTCCTGACTCCGCTAGCGCCTTCGCTGGTGGACGCGACCGAAAGAGTATGCGTGCGCAGGGGCCACTTTTTTCCCATACTTTTTGTTTCAGGCGGGGCCATCGCTGGACGCTTCCTCGAGCTGCCTCGCCCTGCCCCTCTGCGTTGCTCCCTCGCCAGCACGAGGTCGGGCCTGCCCCCCATACAGAGGGGATGTTGGACGACAACTAAAACATACTCAAACGACACCCCAAAAGATTCGGGTCTGGCGAAAGGGGGGGATAGCAAAAGGGGGTTTGAGAATCAGCTCACGTAGCTGATTTTCCCGGCGCCTCCCGGCGCCGGAGGCGGCTATGTATCGAGGAATGGGCCCCTCGGTGAGGCCGAAACCAGCTGCATGCAGCAAATTTCGTAACCCCCCCTTTCCCAATCCCCCCCTTTCGTCTGGCCCCAAAGATGCCCAGACATACTCCGACAACTAGTACCCCCGCACTATTACTTCCTACTGCTTCTGAATCTCCCCCCTCCTCTGGAGGGACGGGCCCGGCGGATCGCCGGCAGCACGGGGGCCCGATCTCCTGCGGCACGGAGGGGGGGCCGTCGCCCGAGCGGCAGGCCCGCCGAGGCGCCCGCCCCTCGGGGGGGGGGCGCATGCCACGGCGGAGGCGAGTGCCTCGGCGGGGAGTGGACTGAGGGGGGCCACGTGCGAACCCCACAGTGAGGGTCTTGACCTAAGGAACCCTAAATAAGGAACGAGGCCCCTTTCTTCCACAGGTTAAACTTCGATTTCGCATCGAAAGTCCAAGGAAAACCTGAGGCCAGCTGCAAAACGGCTAAGGTTCCTTCTTCAGCGCTCCGACTGTACCCCTACCCCCCACGATTTTTGAGGGGGAGGGTGGGGTTCACTTCGCTCGGGAGCTCTCGAACAAAGTGAACCCCACCCTCGCCCTCAAAAATCGTGGGGGGGGGTAGGGGTAGGGTTCGCATGCGGCCCCCTGGGACTTTCGAGAGCAGGAAATCCACCCCCACCATAGGCACCCCGACAAGCGAAGCCGTTTAGTGAACGCACCCAGGGGAGGAATCGAACGGGGCAGGGCTGTTCAGTAAACGCCCAAGGCTGCTGAGCAAACGCGAACTCTCGGGGTCGGGGTGGGTTTTCCACCCTTGAGACCTGGGTGGGATGCACACGGACATACTAGTACTATATGTTCTCCTTGGAGGCACGCGTCCGACCCAGACATGTCGTATACCCATCTTGTAGTACATCGCTTCCCGAGCGGTGTGGCCAGAATGCGCCCGCCAAGACACATATACTATCAGACTTCTCGGTGCGCGCATCACCCCCGGGGGGCGACGCACATATAGTAGAAGTATGTTGGGGTGACGCCGATTGGTAAGGGGGGTGGATCGCAGCAGTATTGGCACATGCTGGGTTTACTCTGGTCCACTTCTTCCTTTTCCTCCTCCTCCTCCTCCTCTTCCTTCTCCTCCTCCTCCTCCTCCTCCTCCTCCTCCTCCTCCTCCTCCTCCTCTCACGACGACGGCGACGGCATCGACAACGACGACGACGAGTGCAGCAGGGGAGCGGCCAAGAGGGCTCCGCGTAGGCCTTCGGCTCCGACGAGGGCCAAAGGGAGGAAGGACAAGAAGGCATAATTCCGAGCGGGTTTCTATGCAGGAACGCCTGCAGAAGCAGAAGTCCACACGAAATTAGAAGTGTGATTTTCTTCAGAGGCGTGAGTTCGCACGGAAGGCATCCAGGAGCGAGTTGAAAGACGAGGGAAGGAGGAGAAGAAGGGAGGAACGATGACGGCGACGGCGGCGGCGGCGACGACGGAGACGCCGACGCGCCGCCGACGACGACAGAGACGCGAGCGGCGGCGAGGGCGGCCTGCGATCCTGGCTAAAAGCTCGTCCACCGCCTCGGTGGGGGTTGACACCGCGCCCGTCGGAGTCATCTGGCCCGGGCGGCCCCTCTCCCTCCCCTCCCCATCCCCTCCTCCTCCTCCCCCTTCCCATCCCTCCCTCCCCTCCTCTCCTCCCCCCTCCTCTCCCTCTCCTCCCCTCCTCGCCTCCTGCCCTCCCCTCCCCTCCCCTCTCCCTCCTCCCCCCCCATTCCCGGCCCGGCCTCTGCCCTCGCCCATTCCCTGCTTCTCCCGGCCTCCGGCCTTGGCGCTCCGAGGCCTTTCCGTGCAGGGTTCCCCCGCTCGGGAGGGGGGGGGGACGTCCCTGAAGTCCTGGACATCCCCGGAGGCTTCGGGGAGCTCTGCCAGGGCCCAAAAATCAACCCAAAAACCACAAATGCTCGATCCTCCTCCCGCCTCCCTCCTCCACTCCTCCTCCTCCTCCTGCTGCTCCTCCTTCTCCTTCCTTTCCTCCTCCTCCTTCTCCTCCCCCTCCGATGCGAGGGAGAAGGAAAAGGCCGAGCGCCCCCAAGAAAATTCCATCCACGGTCATCGACGAGCCCCCACACTTTGCGGGAGGTCAGCTGCGTGTCTCGCCGATGAATGGGAACGGCGACAGCCTAGACAGCTTTGCTGGGGTTACCTGCAGGCCGCAGCGACCCGAATGTGGCAAAGTGTGTGCCCACCGAACACAGAGTGAGAAATCGTTGACTTGGCTGGTTACCGAATCCCTTCGCACGACTTCGAAGCAACTCGCCACTCGAAATTGGTATGGGTTAAGCAAAGAGCTGGACGTAAACGATAACGCCACCGCAGATGAAGACGAGGAGAAAAACAAGGGCAAGGGCGACGACGACAGACGAGGGGCGCGGGGCGAAGAGGACGGCGTCGGCGCGGCGGCCGCGCGGAGCCTCCTCCAACAGCTTATCCCTTTTCCTGGCCTCCTCCTGCGGGGCGGAGGAGGCATGCAGCGGGCCCCCACTGGGGATGCCCCTCGTCCTCGTCGTCGTCGTCGTCGTCGTCGTCGTCGTCGCCGTCGCCATCGCCATCGCCTTCGCATTCGTCGTCGTCGTCGTCGCCGCCTCCTCCTATTATTCATCCTCCCCCTCGTCATCATGATCATCATCATCACCATCATCATCCACCACCACCTCCATCATCACCACCATCATCATCACCATCGCAAGCATCATCGTAACCATCGTCATCACAACCGCCATCATCATCCACCACCACCACCTTTATCACAACCATCATCATCAGCAGCATCAGCATCATCACAATCATCATCAGCATCATCATCATCATGATGCTGGCTTCTCTTTTCCAATCTACTGCTTGCGGAGACCGAATGAGCAAACACAGTCGACACTGCCCCAGCTTTCGGGGAGGGGAGGGTTCTGGGTGAACAAAACAGCCTGCAGAGCGGAAGAAGCGGATGCAGAGGCCAGATCATTCCCGTGGGGCACAAACATGATGCTGGCTGCTCTGTTCCAAGCTACTGTTTGCGGAGACCGAGTGAGCACGCGCAGTCGACACTGCCCACCTTCAGCCTCCCGCAATCAGCACTGGCCTGGCGAAATTATTCGACGCAAAGACCTACAACAATCTTGTCGACGGAAATCTCTCCCACCGAAGCCCCCGAATTAAGAGGGGCGAGAGGGAACAAAGGAGGCGAGAACGGGCCACAAGGCATGCGCGTGCAAGAGGCTAAGGGAGGTAGCGAAAGCCTGGGATAATACCTCACAGAGCTTCTCGGGATAAACCTATTTTACTGAATAAGAAAAACTCCTGAACCAGTAGGCTCATTGAGTTAAAGAAGCGATTTCCCGGAGAAAATACAGTCACCACGACCCATACATTTCGCTTGAAGGAGGACAGGGAATTTACCATGAAACAGATGCAGCCTAGACCGAGCACGCCAGGCTGCACCAAACGCGCAGTAGTCAACTACATATTGTGTACACGCCCTGCGTTGACAATGAATGGGTCGATCGTGTACTGACCAGAGAAAAGATTGAGCTGGATTCTCTTCGCCGCAAAGAATACCACGATCAATGCAGGATTTAAGCAACGCCCCGCTACGCTGTGCCAGAATATTCCCTTCTGCCACCACTAGCCGATCTTTGTCGCATAGATTTGGCAAACCGCGCGGGCACTCTTGAGTGCGCAGCCGAGGAGGTAGCTGCGACCACTGAGGGGCCCGTCTAGCAACCGAGAACGACTGGCACGGGGTCCCTGGCCACAGTCCTGACACAACGCCCAATCGAATCGAACCCGTCAACGCGTGAAAGACATCGTCACAAAATAAGTCATACTGAGCCCCGTGGACAATATCGACGCGCGCGACCGCGACATTACGGCGCGCCCGGGCACGCGCCAAGCCTCCCGAACCAGAGAACACATCTAGGAATACTCTCCGCAATGCAGGCTGCGGCTGTGCAAGAGGCTCGCGCAGCGCGCGTCGGAGGGCGCGATGCCGTGCTCCACTAGCAAGGCGATCTCCGCAGGTCGCGCCGCCAGCAGCTCGCCGAGCTGCATGGGGGCCCTGGCAGGCTAGTCGCACCGAGCCACAATGCGGGGGTTGCGCCAACGCCCCGGCTGCTGCCCCTCGGCGAGCGAGCGCGCCTGCGCGAGGAAGTCGTGGCTGGCTCGCCCATGCCGCCGCGCGTAGAACGTCGGCTCGACCGAGTAGACCCCCCGCGGCTCCATTGCGTCCACGAAGGAGCGGCGCCACTGCCTGGAGCTGACGTCGAGCAGGCGCTCGGGCTGGCCGAGGTCCAGAGGTCCAGCAGCACCCTGAAGTCGAACTCCTGCGTCTCTAGCGGGCGGCCGAGCTCCTCCATGTGCACCCCGAAGGCCCAGTAGGTTCCAGGCTCCTTTGGGCTCGAAGGGAAGATGAGCGGCGCCACCGAGAGGCTCAGCAGCAAGAACGACCGCAGGTACGTCACGAATAGCACAACGACGGCCAGCGCCCCGATCGGGCGCGCGGCCTGCGCCACCTCGACGAACGCCCGCAAGTCCCGATCCCCTTGCGGGGCCGACCAGCGAGGCAGCGACGGCTTCGCGAGGGAGGAGCCCAGGTGCGCCAGCCCGTCGCCGTAGCCCCGCTGTGTGGTGGGTCTCACCCGTCCCCGCTGCAACGCTGTGAGGGCCGGCGCTAGGCCTCGCGGTCGCTGTCGGACCTCCTCGTGGGTCCGCGCCAAGCGGATGGAGGCCTGGGGGCCGACCTGACCAGAGGCTGCCACCCGGGGGCCCCGCGGCCTGCCACCAGCTCCGCCGGGCACGAGGCGGTACTTGACGAACCCCTCCAGCGCCCGCGGCCCGCCGTGCCGAGGCTGGAACACCCGACTGGCAGCGTCCAAAGCGTTCCGCTCGGACGGCACCCAGCAATCCGCCAGCTTGAGCCCAGCGGCTAGGCAGAAGGCGGCCGAAATCCGACACTGGAAATTCATCGCAGGATTCGACGAGCGGCCCTTTACACGTGCACAGATCACCGGCACGTTATCACCCAGGACGAGCACCCGAGATTCATGAAGACTGCAGTCACGAGCACGGCGTCGCACAGTCCAAGTCCAAGCCATGCCACCGCGCCCGCTCGTTGTTTACATGCGCCCCCCCATGGCTGCCCTCTGCGCTGCTGTATCCCTTTGTCCCTGTCGTCGTTCTCCCCACCCCCTGCTTTTCCTGGCTGCGTTGCCTCTCTCGCTCCTCTCGCGGGGTGCCCCCCCAAGCATCTCCCCCACTACACGTCGCGTTTCGCTGACAATCGCACGTCAGCCGCGCTGGCCCAGGTGACCAGGCTTCTAGCATCACGGCGCGCTGTTAGCAACATGCAGATCGCGACGCTTCAAATTTCTTCCACCGTCGAGGTGGATGGGATTAAACCATATTGGCGCATTGTCAAGCCAGGTGATGCGGCTGCAGTGGGTAACGAGACGTTCGTCCGGATCTCACCAGCGCAGTATACATCAAAAAGCCTTCTGGCTTTTGATGATGGCGAGGTCCCATTAGGGACTGGAGCAACAGGCAGCAGTCCTGAGCAGGGGCCTAAAGGCGTTGGCATCCCAGCGGAATGAGCGGCAGTCGGCTGAGTTCTAGCAGGAACAGGATCAGCACGCGTGCTGATTGTTTAGAACACCACCGAAGCAAACAAAGCTCGTCAAGCCGCGCGCCCAGAAGGCTGGCATGAGGCGGGAACCTCTGATCATGTGCACGGACGTGGTAGCGCATGCGCTTGCTTTTCAAGTTGAGGTTTTGAAGCCAAGTCATCCACGTGACAATTTCTTCGTCGCGTATAGGCCCGAGGTTTGGGCCGCAGTGATGCGCCTCATGAGGACAACGGACTTCGATGGGCCGCAGAAGCGAGAGCGATTGCCTGTTATGCCCAAGGGTGTCCACAAGAAGAACGGCTTCTTCCTTGCCGAGTTTGAGAAGAGCGATGGCTCGCGCGGCTATGAGATATGCAAGACCTTTAAGGATGCCGTTATGCTCCTATCTACCGACCCGTCTGCCGTGATATTAACCATGACGAGGTTTCTCCGAGTGCATTGAACGACGACAGCGCGCCTGCAGACTCAGAGTCAGGTCGTGGCTGCTATAGTTGCCAGTCTAGCCTGGGCCAAGTGGCTGCCATGGTCCGCGTGATTGGGGTCTGCGGGCTTCGCAGTTCTATTTGGACTCGCAATGTTCCGATTGGAAAAACAACTCCTCAGACTGTTGAATTAAGGTGCCAGTGCTACGTGCGCTTCAAGCTGATGGGCCGCATGGGCGCGCGCCCATTCGTCGGGGGCGGTCAAGAAGGGGGCGCCCAAGAGGGGGGGGGGGGGGGGTCATGGCCAGCGGCGCGCGCGCGGCCCAGCGGGGGGGGGCCAGGAACGCAATGAAATAAGAAGGGGCGCGATGACATCTGGGGAAATATCATAGCCCCCGCCATGATATCCACCCCCCCTAGTCATCGCCCCCCTGTTTGCCGACCCCGAATCCGGGGGCCCTCGCAACGCAGCCTTCGCGGTTCAAGTCGCCGTTCGCGCCGTTCCTCTCCCCGCGCCCTCCACTTCCAGGCCGCGGCTCCAGGGGCCCGCGCCGAGGCCGCCTGCCCCGTGGCCGCCGCCGCTCGCGCGCGCGAGATTGACCGCCTCAAGGCGCGCATCGCGGACCATGAACAAAGACCGCGACAGGCGGGGGGCCCGAGCCGCGGGGCCGGAGAGGTTCGCCGCGACGGCGACTGCGAGTGCGACTGCGACCCGCATAGCGCACCCTGCAGGCGCCGCGGGTTGGGGCCGAAGCGCCCAGAAGAAGCATCGCACAAATTGGCGCGCAGAACATCTCTTCGAGACTGCTCCATACATCCCAAGCGGCACATTTCACTAACGCAAAAACGGAATCTCGCGCCTGGTCGAGGCTCGCCACGGCGATTGCGAACAAAGTGGAGCAAGCCAGGAGGCGAAGAAAGCGCTCGTTAACGCGCGCCGCCTCTGGGCGGGGCGCGCGTCGGCGGGCTCGCAGACCAGGGCGACTAAGCTCGGCGGGCTGCTGCGCTTGTCGAAGATTCAACAGGCCGTTGCCTGCGACGACGCCCCTGGCCCAGACGTCGCCCACTCGGGCGATGCGTCGCCTACCTGGCCTTCTCGCAGCGAGCGAGGCGCCCTCCGTGGATCAGCTGAAGTATGTCATCATGCGCGTGAATCAGCTGAAGTGTGTCAGCCTGTGGATCAGCTGAAGTACGTCAGCAGTTGATGTCGGCCAATGGATCAGCTGAAGTACGCCATCATGTCAGCTTGCGCCCTCTGCGGATCAGCTGGGGCACGTCAGCGCCTGGATGCCATTGTTTTCGGCGACGGTGCGGCGAAGCCCGCTCCAACAGCATGCAGCTTGCATGCGACATCCACGCCAGTGCTGCCCAGGCGAGCGCGGGATCGCAGCGCCGCGCTTCCGCTGAGAACAATTGCAGCCGCCCTCCAGTCATCGGGCGTCTGGCACTGCGATGCTCCACATTCCTCCCCCCGCCCTTTTCCCCCGCCGTGCTTCGCGGCCTCGCCGCGCTGTCTCAATCCAGTCGCGTTGCCCCGGGCGCAGTTTAAACTGGCCCCTGGTTCAGTTTCAAATACCACTTTGAATCGATCCAGGGCCTCTCACCGCGCGAGGTCTGCGATTGGCCCGACGCCGCGCCATGCCACGCCGCGCGCTCGGCCCAATCGACGATTCGACCCATGTGGCCACATTGGGCCTGTCCTTGGCCGCGCAGGGGCGGCCCCGACCGACGACGCGATGCGCCGCGCCATGCCGATCAGCGTTCGCGTCTGGGCAGGGCGGACATAAAGTACCAGGCGCCTTGGCAGGGCGGATGCAAAGCGACGCGGGCACGGTGGGAGAGGCGAGGGGGGCGCGGGGGCGAGGCGGAGGAAGGCGACGAGGAGGATGAGGGGGATGCGGCGGAGGAAGACGGCGTTCGCAGGCGCGCAAGTAGGTTAGGACAACAGTTCCAGCAGACAAATCAGGTCATGAACTCAAGCTAGGACAGGCGCCTGCATGGGCCTCGGATGCGCACTCATCGAGCGAACGGCGGCATGCCACAGGCCGCGGGCAAGCACCTATGCGCCGCCCGACGCGTCTAGGATTGCGCCCGCCGTGGCCCAGCGCGCCCCCTCCCCTCCAGCCCCCAGATGGCCAGGGAACGTCTACTAGCATGTAATATAATGTTTTTTTAGGGGGGGGGGGGGGAGGGGGGGCGCGGGGGCCTCGGGGCCCAGAGACTTCATGCATCTTGTTCCCGTAGCTACACTCGGCACCATCATCAACACATGGGGCCCAGGTCACCCAAGACAGCTCAACACTGGCCCCCAGTAGTAGCCCCCACCACCTCCCCCCACGCACGCCGTCTTACACATGGCCCCCACCATCTCCACCTCCTCGCATCCTCCTCCTCCGTGTTAGCCGCTTTGGCTGCTGGGTCGCTGTTTGATAGCGACGGCGCACATCGGCCGACGTGGTCAGGGACCTGGTGCATGCGCGACCTGGCCGATGGACATGTTCAATCGCGATCTGCCCAGGGAGCGCAATGCGGTTCGTGGACCGCGGCAGCCAGATGGCCCACCGCCAACGCGCCTCAAGTTGGCGCCAGCGCCGCGCAGCGGCGGCGCTGCCGGCGACCCATTTCGCCGCGCGACGTTGGCGGCGCAGGCCGACGGCGTCGACGACTCGACGTTCTTACAGTCCGCGGGCGATCGTGCGCTTATCGCCGTGCAGATGAGCACGGGCCTGCGCTGCAATGCGGGGCTCGAGCTGGCCAGGGGGGGGCTCGTGGAAATCCTCAGAGAAAGTCGCGTTCAACGGGGCCTCGGAGCGCGCGTTCATCTTCGGGGCGGGCGACGGCTGGCGCCGCGCCAACGTGATCTGGGCTACCAAAAATCAGCGGCACGAAGCTCAACGCGAGGGCACCATCATGTTTTGGGCGGGCAGCTGCGAGAGCGACCAGTTCGAAGAGCGCCCGCGTGCCCGATTCACGCTCCCTGGCGGAGCGCATCCGAGGCGGACGGAGTCACGGCGGTGAGCGGGCAACGCGCGCTCGAGCAGGCCATCGCGAACAAGAAGGCTGCAGGCTCGGACGACGACGCCGGCTCCGCGAAAGGCGCCACGAAGGGCGGCAAGAAAGGCTCCATGGGCACCACCTGGGACACGCCGCGCGGCGAGGGCGGCCATGGCGGTCGGATGTCGCGCCGCGCGAGACCCATTTCGCGCTGCGAGAGCGGTGACTACCAGGGCTTCGAAGCCAAGGCGACCGAGTACATGGCTGGCTTCTACACGTTGCGCCAGCTCCTAGGTTTGGAGTAGCCTGCCATTGCGGTTCACCCTTTGACTACCAAGGCTCGGTAGTCAAATGGAGGCGCTCTAGAGTTTGACGACCGAGACTTGGTAGTCAAACGTAGTACCGTCACCATTTTACTACCAAGTCTTGGTAGTCAAACGCAGGGTCGCCTCCGTTTGACTCCCAAGTCTTGGTGGTCAAACGCAGGATCGCATCGTCTGGCTCCTAAGTCCTGGTAGTCAAACGCGTTCGCTAGAAGTCGTGCCTGGATTCGGCCGCGCAGTCACGCCGCTTGCCGGGCCCTCCAGTGCGCCATCAGAAACCAATGCGATAGCAGCCGATGTATGCCGCTTGATCGTCCGATGGGGGTGTTCTCGAGCATTGGTCCAACCTCCGTTCGCACGTCCATCGGCCTCGGCCGCGTGAGCGGCACGCTGTCTCGGTGCTCGCGGTGCCGCTGTCCCTGGCCGTCGTGCGCCGCGGCGAGCGCGCGCAGGTCTCCAGCGCCCGCGTGCGCAACGCCATCTGCAGGTGGCGGGCCAGCTCGCGCGGCGGGGGCAGGTCCCGCGGCCGGGGGGGCCAGCCTCCAAGGGGCCCAGGGCCCGCGGCGGCGGCCACAACCGCGAGGAGAGCACCGCCTCCACCAGCAGGACCAGCAGCAGTAACAGTCGCAGGGCCCGCGGAGAGCAGGTCGTGCTCCGCGAGCTTGCCCGCGCCGACCACGCAAGCACGGGCGAACTGGGCGACCGTGGGTCTAGCGGCGAAGTCATGCCACCTGATGCCAGCGGGGATAACGGCGCCCACCGGCGCCGCGGCAACCCCCCACTCCTTCCACCAGTTGCGGATGTCCGCGTTGCCCGCATCGGACTCCTCCACGTAGACTTCGTAGTCGGGCACGAGCACGGCGGAATGCTCCAGCGTCCGAGTCGAGAGGCCCACCACGATGCGCTTGTTTGTGAGCAAGCCGCGGGGGAGGCACGTCGTACCCAACCCAAATCTCATCGCCGACGATGATCGTGAATATCGGCCGAGCCCACCAATCCGCGGCGGCCGCCGCTCAGGCGTGTTCATGCGCACCGCCTGGGGGTTCGGGCTGGGCTCGCCGCCGAGGGCAGGCCGCGCCGAGCGCCGCGCGCACCCGCAGCGCGCCGCGCGCAGGCCCAGCCCCAGAGCCCAGCGGGCGAGCTCGGAGGCCAAAAGCAGCAGGCCACCGAACGCCCCTTCCCAGACCAGGGAGGGACGCCGCCCGTCTCCCCCCTCGCAAGAGGGGCAGACGAGGGGCAGGGCGAGGGGCAGGCGCGGCTCGCCTCCCTCGCGTCCAGCGCGGCCGCCAGGCAGTCAGCCAGCGGCACCTGGACCCCGGCGGCCTCACCTGACGCCAGGAACGGGCCCGCCTCGGAGGGCGGGGGCGGCGAGGCCGCCAGCCGAGGCGCGGCTGGCGCCTCGGGGGCCGCGGGCAGCAGTCACAAGCGCGCCACGAGCAGGAGGAAGCAATTGTTCGCGAGAGGGAGGCCGAGTCCGGTGCCAGTGAAGCGCATCCGGCCTCCAGAAAAAGGCGCGGTTGCGGCGCATCGGCGCGACCACGACGGCCCTCGGTTCCAAAAGAGATGAAACGTGCGAGACGCAGTCATCATCATCATCATCATCATCATCATCATCATCATCATCATCATCATCATCATCATCATCATCATCATCATCATCATCGTCATCATCATCGTCATCATCATCATCATCATCATCATCATCCTGATACGCATCATCCTCATGATCATCTTCAGCACCACCACCAGCATCAGTATCAGTATCAGTATCAGTATCAGTATCATCATCATCATCATAATCAGCATCATCATCATCATCATCATCAGATTACGAGCCTCACAATCATCATCACAATCATCAGCAGCATCAGCATCCTCATTATAATCATCATCCTCATCTGCATCATCGTCAGCATCAACAGCATCGGTATCACCATCAGCATCTGCATCATCGTGATCATCATCGTCATCATCATCCGCAGCATCATCGTCCTCATCCTCATCATAATCCTCATCTGCATATTTTTATCCTCATCATAATCATCTTCATCTTTCCATCACTAGCACTACCACCATCATCATGATTACCACCAACATCAGCATCACCATCAGCAGCATCACTAACATCATCACCATCAGCATCATCATCATTGTCATCAGCATCATCATCAGCAGCAGCATCAGCAACGACATCGTGCACACTTCAGCATCATCAGCAGCCTCATCATCCTCATCACCAACAATATCAACATAACCATCATCATCAGCAGGATCACGATCTTCATCCGAATCATCGTGACCAGCAGCGTCCTCATCATCACCATCCACAGCAGCAGCGGCCTCATCATCATCAGCATCATGACCATCATTAGCAGCATCATCATCACTATCATCATCGCTATCAGTATCAGTATCATCATCATCATCATCGTCGTCGTCATCGTCATCATCATCATCATCATCAGCATCAGCATCAGCATCAGCATCAGCATCATCATCCTCATCCTCATCGTCATCGTCGTCATCATCATCATCATCATCATCATCATCATCATCATTCCCCTCTGGGCAAGGCCCCAAGAGGCTCCACGAAGATCCGAGCGATCCCAACGAGGGCTCCCATGATGGTCCCACAGGGTCCCACGAGGCCACGAGAATTCCCCCCCCTCTCCACTCCTCCACACAAACGCACATGTTTTGCTTCCCTGCCAGGTGGTCCAACTCAGCGGGAGGCGCTGAGGTGATTGCCACCGAACGTGTGCCGATGCGGCGCAACCGACACGCGGCTGCTCGTGCAAAGAGAGAGGTGCGTGACAGTCAGGCGCGCCCCCCCCTCCTCCACACACGCACACACCACTCAAAAAGCACAATCATACCTCCGTGCCTCCCTCCTTTTTTCTCACTTCTCTTTGGGGGGCAAGCTATTGGGCCTCTAATGCCTCCCTCCTCGTCCCCCTCTCCACCTCTCCTCCCAGAAACGAGCCACCTGGGCATCCTCCAGGATCTTCCGGGTCGACTCTGCCCGCTTGAGCTGCTGCTGCCGGGCCAGCTCCATCTTCTCCTCTTGCCGCCTGTCGTCTTGGGGAAGGAGGGCGAAGAGAAAATCAGAAGGACGAAGAGGAGGAAAAGGAGAAGGAGAAGGTAGAGGGAGAAGGAGGCGGTGGCATAACGGGGGGGGAAAACGGAGCAGGAGGAGAAGGAGATGGGAGGTGGAGGAGGGAGGAGGGAGAGAGGGGGAGGAGCATGACTAGGGGGAGGAGGGGTTTTGGGGCCGCCCTGGATCTACAGGAGGTCACTGGAGGCCTCAGGAGGGGGAGGCGTTTTTTTATCCTCCTCGTGGCTCTTTTTTGTTGTCCTCCCCTCAGATGGGTTTCGGCTTATATTTCTCCCCTCGGAGGCTTTCTTTTTTCCCAGCTCTCCTTGGTTGGGTATTGGTTCTTCCCTCCCTAGGCTCTGCCTAGAAGGGTTCTTACTCTATGGGCTTAAAGGGCCGGGCAGTGGAAAACGCCCTGGGCGGTTCCCCCAGGATCCGCCCCGCGGTTCCCCGAGTTACGTCCCCTTAGCTTAGCGTTGCTTATCCCATATTAGCTTAGCTTAGCTTATTTCATCTTGGCTTAGCTTCGCTTCATCTTAGCTCAGTATTATATTAGCTTAGCTTACCTTCATCTTAGCTTCGCTGAGCTTTAGCATAGTAGAGCACATCACAGCACAGCATAGCGTAGCATAGTATAGCGCAGCACAGCATATCATAGCATAGCCCAGCATCGCATAGCATAGCATAGCATAGCGCAGCACAGCACAGCACAGCACAGCATAGCACAGCGCAGCATAGCATAGCATAGCAGCAAAGCAAAGGCAAATCAACAGCAGCAACAGCAAAGCAAAGCACAAGCAACGCAAAGCAAAGCAAAGCAAAGCAAAAGCAAAAGCAAAGCAAAGGAAAGGCAAAACAAAATCAATGTGCGACAGATGCCGAGCTAGCCTCGATGGCCGGACCGGAGCCCCCGCAAGCAGTGCCTTCCGCAACCATTTCGGCTTAAATAGCATAGCAGAGCACAGCATAGTATAGCATAGCGTAGCATAGCATAGCGCAGCACAGCATATCATAGCATAGCCCATCATAGCCCAGCATAGCATAGCATAGCGCAGCATAGCATAGCATAGCATAGCATATCATAGCATAGCATAGCGCAGCTTAGCATCGCATGTCATAGCATAGCTTAGCATAGCACAGCGCAGCATGACATATCATAACTTCGCATAGCATAGCATAGCATAGCATAGCATATCATAGCATTACATAGCATAGCATAGCATAGCATAGCGCAGCATAGCATAGCATATCATAGCATAGCATATCATAGCGCAGCATAGCATGGCATAGCATAGCATAGCAACTAATGTTGCTTTCCTGGGGGCTCCAGCTTCTAGGTAGGGTCGCACTAGGGTAATGAATAAAGCACCGCGGTCGCGTTTTCTCTTCCTCCCGCCTCCTCCCGCCTCCCTCCTCCTGCCCTCTCTTCGCCGCCGCTGGGGGGTTGCGATCTGCAAAACTATCGCCATTTTCGAAGGCTGCTGGTGGGTCCAGCAGAGTGAGGCACCGCGCAAACCTGAGCGGGACCTCGCCGACCCTGGGGGGCTGCGATCTGCGAATCTGTCGCCACTTTTGAGGGCTGCTGGTGGGTCCAGCGGAGTGAGGCACCGCCCAGACCTGAGCGAGACCTCGCCGTCCCTGGGGAGCTGCGATCTGCGAATCTGTCGCCAGTTTGGAAGGCTGCTGGTGGGTCCAACGGAGTGGGGCACCGCGCGGACCTGAGCGAGACCTGGCCGTCCCTGGGAGGCTGCGATCTGCGAAAACTGTCGCCGCTTTCGAAGGCTGCTGGTGGGCCCAGCGGAATGAGGCACAGCGCAGACCTGAGCGAGACCTCGCCGTCCCTAGGGGGCTGCGATCTGCGAATCTGTCGTCGCTTTCGAGGGCTGCTGGTGGGTCCAGCGGAGTGAGGCACCGCGCGGACCTGAGCGAGACCTCGCCGTGCCTGGGGGGCCACTTTCGATGGCTGCTGGTGGGTCCAGCGGAGCTAGGCACCGCCCGGACCTGAGCGAGACCTCGCCGTCCCTGGGGGGCTGCGATCTGCGAAACTGTCGCCACTTTGGAGGGCTGTCGGTGGGTCCAGCGGAGTAAGGCACCGCGCGGACCCTGGGCGGGACCTCGCCGTCCCTGGGGGGCTGCGATCTGCGACTCTGTCGTCGCTTTCGAGGGCTGCTGGTGGGTCCAGCGGAGTGAGGCACCGCGCAAACCTGAGCGGGACCTCGTCGTCCCTGGGGGGCTACAATCTGCGAAACTATCGCCACTTTGGAGGGCTGCTGGTGGGTCCAACGGAGTGCGGCACCGCGCAGACCTGAGCGGGCCCTCGCCGTCCCTGGGGGGCTGCTATCTGCGAATATGTCGCCACTTTCGATTGCTGCTGGTGGGTCCAACGGAATGAGGCACCGCGCAGACCTGAGCGAGACCTCGCTGTCCCTGGGGGCGCGCGATCTTCGAAACTGTCGCCAAGTTCGAGGGCTGCTGGTGGGCTCGCCACTTTCGAGAGCTGCTGGAGGGTCCAGCGGAGTGAGGCACCGCGCGGACCTGAGCGGGATTTCGCCGTCCCTGGAGGGCCATGTCATGTTGGTGATGCCCCGGCGACGTTTCAGGCCCCTTGCCCACAGTCTCCTTTTTGGACCTTGCGTTCTCCTTAGTGACTCAGGGTTTCACTTAGTTACGCATCTGTTTTGTTCCAGTGATTGGAAACCTGCGAACCTTCCGAATGCCGCTCGCAGAAGTACATGCGCCCATGTCACGTCGCCGCCTTCTCGTCAATTCTCCCGATCTGCTCCTGCCCCGCATTGAACTGGGGTTTGGGCACTTCGCCAGGGTAATTCCTTCGGAGCTGTCGTGCTCCCCCTCGGTGTTTTTATGTGTCCTCATCGGTTTGTTCCCAACCCTCCTTGGTTGGGTATCCGTTTTGAATAGAGCACAGCGGTCGCGTCTCCCGCCTCCTCCCGCCTCCTCCCGCCCCCTGCCCTCTCTTCGCCGTCGCTGGGGGGCTGCGATCTGCGAAACTGTCGCCACTTTCGAGGGCTGCTGGTGGGTCCAGCGGAGTGCGGCACCGCGCAGACCTGAGCGGGACCTCGCCGTCCCTGGGGGGCTGCGATCTGCGAAACTATCGCCACTTTCGTCGGGGACTGCTGGTGGGTCCAGCGGAGTGCGGCACCGCGCAGACCTTAGCGAGACCTCGCCGTCCCCGGGGGGGGGGGGGGGGCTGGGGCTGCGCTCTGCGAAACTGCCGCCACTTTCGAAGGTTGCTAGTGGGTCCAGCTGAGTGGGGCACCGCGCAGGCCTGAGCGAGACCTCGCCGTCCCTGGGGGGCTGCGATCTGCGAAACTGCCGCCACTGTCGAGGGCTGCTGGTGGGTCCAGCAGAATGAGGCACCGCGCAGACCTGAGCGAGACCTCGCCATCACTGGGGGGCTGCGATCTGCGAAACCGCCGCCACTTTCGATGGCTGCTGGTGGGTCCAGCGGAGTGAGGCACCGCGCGGACCTGAGCGAGACCTCGCCCTGGGGTGCTGCGGCCTGCGAAACTATCGCCGCTTTGGAGGGCTGCTGGTGGGTCCAGCGGAATGAGGCACCGCGCAGACCTGAGCGAGGCCTCGCCGTCCGGGGGGGGTGCGATCTGCGAATCTGTCGCCAGTTTGGAATGCTGCTGGTGGGTCCAGCGGAGTGGGGCACCGCGCAGGCCTGAACGAGACCTCGCCGTCCTGGGGAGCTGCGATCTGCGAATCTGTCGCCACTTTCGAGGGCTGCTGGTGGGTCCAGCGGAGTGAGGCAGACTTGAGCGAGACCTCGCCGTCCCTGGGAGGCTGCGATCTGCGAAAACTGTCGCCGCTTTCGAAGGCTGCTGGTGGGCCCAGCGGAATGAGGCACAGCGCAGGCCTGAACGAGACCTCGCCGTGCCTGGGGGGCTGCGATCTGCGAACTTGTCGCCACTTTCGAGGGCTGCTGGTGGGTCCAGCGGAGTGAGGCAGACTTGAGCGAGACCTCGCCGTCCCTGGGAGGCTGCGATCTGCGAAAACTGTCGCCGCTTTCGAAGGCTGCTGGTGGGCCCAGCGGAATGAGGCACAGCGCAGGCCTGAACGAGACCTCGCCGTGCCTGGGGGGCTGCGATCTGCGAACTTGTCGCCACTTTCGAGGGCTGCTGGTGGGTCCAGCGGAGTGAGGCAGACCTGAGCGAGACCTCGCCGTCCCTAGGGGTCTGCGATCTGCGATGCTGTCGCCACTTTCGAGGGCTGCTGGTGAGTCCAGCGGAGTGAGGCAGACCTGAGCGAGACCTCGCCGTCCCTAGGGGTCTGCGATCTGCGATGCTGTCGCCACTTTCGAGGGCTGCTGGAGGGTCCAGCGGAGTGAGACACCGCGCAGACCTGAGCGAGACCTCGCCGCGTCCCTGGGGGGCTGCGATCTGCGAAACTGTCGCCACTTCCAAAGGCTGCTGGTGGGCTCGCCACCTTCGAAAGCGCTGGCGTGTCCAGCGGAGTGAGGCACTGCGCGGACCTGAGCGGGACCTCGCCGTCCCTGGGGGGCCATGTCATTTTGTTGCTGCCCCGCCGACGGTTCAAGCCCCTTGCCTTCAGTCTCATTTTGGTTTGCGTTTTCCTTAGTGACTCAGGGGCTCACTTTGTTACTCATCGTTTTTCCCTTGATTGGGGACCTGCGAACCTTCCGAATGCCGCTCGCAGAAGCAGATGAGTCCATGTCACGTCGCCGCCTTCTCGTCAACCCCCCCGAGCTATTCCTGCCCCGCATTGCGCAGGGGTTGGGCACGTTGCCAGGGTATGTTTTTTTGCCCTCGGGGGAGGGGGGAGGCTCTCGGGAGGCTCTTGGGCCGCCCTGGGGGCCTCTTGGGCCGTCTTGGTGGGCTCGGGCCGAATCGGGACCCTCTTGGGGGCCTCACGGGCCGTCTTGGGGCCATCCGTCGGGCACGCTGGGCAGCGCTGGGCCGTCGGAAATCCGAGAGGCAAGAATCCTAAGAATCG